ATAGATGGCAACAGAACTCAAAGGACTGGGACGTATAAAGTTGTTTGCACCTTTTTTTACCATGTCGGCAAAAGAGCTATTTTGTTGTGCGGTTTTAGGCAAAGATTCCTTTATTGTTTCTTTGATTTGGGTCAGAGAATTTGCTAGGTCAAATTTTTCATTTAAGTCCTGTAAAGCATAGTGTTGAAGAAGGGCCTTATTCTTCAGGGCTTGATACTGCAATGTAACGTGGGAAAATCCTTGGCACACTTTACGGCAGAGATTGTTGATCTTCAATTTCTGCTCAGAGTTCAGTTTTCCTTCGGAAGAAATCGTGCATATTTCTTGTAGGTAACGCTCAATTGAACCTGTCCATTGATGAAGATCTGACGTAGATGCGGTTTCCGGTGGGTCAATTTCAATTTGTTCTTCTTGCTTTGGATTTGACGGCGGAGGGGTGCGGCGGGTAATCCCGCTGCGATTGAAGGGGCTGTTGTCCATATTACTTGAAATATTTGCACACACAGATTGTCATTATACTATTCAGATATTAACACTTGTTATATTTCAAAGTAGCAACAAAAGTAGGTCACTATTTATAAATTGTTCATTAATATAAGCAATATTATTTTTGCATCGATGTACACGTCTATACGCGTTGACGACAAAAGAATATTTTCTTTAAATGGATTGAAGCTATTAAAATGAATAGAACGACTGCGCAAGCTGTCATTACCGTATTACGCAAACTATGGTCGCAATTTGGTCTTCCGAAGCAAGTCGTTAGTGATAACGGACCACCATTTACGAGTGTTGAATTTCAGAAATTTTTGGAACATAATGGTATTGAACACATTTTTACAGCCCCTTACCACCCATCTTCGAATGGTGCGGCTGAAAGCGCAGTCAAAATTTGTAAACGCGCGATAAAAAAGGCTTTAAAAGATAATTTAGATGTTGATATAGCGTTATCCAGATTTTTATTGACATACCGGAATACAGAACATACTACTACTGGTGATAGTCCAGCCAAAATATTACAAGGGCGTAGTCTTCGTTTAAGGTTAGATAATTTGAAGCCGGAAAGGGAATTTCGAGTAGCGTTACGTCAGGCACGTAGTGAGTACTATAAGGGGGGTTCACAGCGTTTATTTGAGACTGGTGCTCAAATTTGGTATCGTGATTATAGGAGCTCAGATAAATGGCAACCTGGTACAATAATTAAACGGTTAGGCAACACAGATTATTCTATAAAAACAAGTTTCGGTACGGAAATACACAGACATGTCGATCAGCTGAGACAAAGGGTTATAGCCAGTAACGTTCCAAACACTACAGTAGGGTTAGACATACCTACAAAATTGGAAATAAATAAGAAATCACGCAAGTCTTTGGCCATCCCCTCAACCAATGTTGAGGTACCAGACGGCAGTGAGCAGGAGCGTAATATTACAAATCCTGCTATTCCAAGGAGCCCTAGGTTGGATTCCGAAACAGGCCCAGATGTGGTCACGCCTACAAGCCCTCAACCTGATTCCAATGTGTCTAATGTACCATTAGATCAAAATAAGACGGCTGCTAGCACTGGAAAAAACCGTCCACAAAGATTTCGCAAACCACCTGTTCGGTATGGGTTTGAGGAAGAGTTTTTTTAACCAAGTGTAGGTTACTGTTAGGTACTAAGGTTTCTTTTTTTCTTTTTGTTTTTATTGTTGTTGTGTTGTATGTTCATTAACACTTATATTAGTTAAATAAGCATGTACCTAGTTAAGTAAGACTTGTATGTTACTTATAGTTTTAAGTTTATGATAGGTAATCTAATTGTTAGTAGAACTAAATAAGGGTGGAGGTGTTATGTTTTAGTTATAATAAGGTATTGCAGGTGGCGCTTCAGTCTTGCAATAAACATTGCTCCAAACACACGTGCGTTTGATTTAACAGATAGAAGGGAAAGTCGGAGCTGCCCTAACTTGGTGGGAAAACGGAAAGGAGTTAAAGAGCTGCACCTTCGGCCTGGAGCCTCACAATACTGTCTTCCAATCGGAGATGTACGCTCTCTTCAGAGCTGTTGAGATGGTGAGGGAATCTGGAGCGACTTCCGTTGACATCTTGAGCGACTCAAGATCCTCGCTCGACCTTCTGAGGGGTCCTTCTGTCACTCATCACTTGGCACTCAAAATTAAGAGGTACATAAAAGAAATCGAAGAGGAGGACAGAGAGGTGAGATTCTTCTGGCTGAGGGCCCACGTGGGGACCGCCGGAAACGAGAGAGCGGATGAGCTGGCTAAAAGGGCGGCACTATCAGGGAGTTCCTCGGACTACAATCAAGTCCCAATCTCCTACATCCGAAAGAGCATACGTGAGGAGACCATCAAGAGTGGCAGGAACGGTACCAAGTCTCCAGCACGGGGGCTGTCACAAAAGCGTTTTTCCCGGACGTCCTGGTAGCGAAAAGGATTCTCGCAAATATGATCCTGTCACCGGTCCTCACTCAAGTTTTCACGGGTCACGGGGGATTCTCAGCGTATCTCCACCGCTTCCATCTGAAGGAGAGTCCCTCGTGCGTCTGCGACCCCGACTGCGACGAGACTATATGGCACTTGCTCTTCGACTGCCCAAGATTTTGTAGAGATAGGGTGGACCTGGAGCTGAGACTCGAAATCCAGCTGAGTCAGCCCACACTCCATACCATCATGGAGAAACTGGCCACAAGGGAGCCATTCTTGGCATTCGCGAGTAGAGTCGCCTCAGTTGCGGCGGGCGCAAACAAAACAACAGTAGTCTCGTCGACCCGTGGACTGCCACCATCTGCACAAACACATACACACACGAACACTTCTACACAGACAACCTCAGCAACGCATAGCACAACCACACACACCACACGATCTACGGCAGGGGCAACAATGACACCGAACTCTCAACCAACAACAGCAGCGGCGTCACAGCCTCAGTCGACCCCCACTGCCATGACCATCGCGCGGTTCCTGTCACACGGAGGAAGTGGAGAGCCGGGCATCAGACTGCGCGGAGTGGCCCTGTTTATGAACAAAGAGACGGAAACGCTCGGCATAAGCTGCGTCGTTGCGCGCAACAGAACAAGAGTGTCTCCTTGTTCTGGATAAAGGCACATGCGGGATTGGAGGGCAATGAGCGTGCAGACGTACTGGCGAAGGAAGCAGCCCTGGGGTCTAAAAGAAAGCCGGACTATGACCTGTGCCCGGTCTCCTTCGCCAAGAAAATGATACGCCGGGAGTCTCTCGGCGAATGGGACCGCAGGTATCGGACCGGCACCACGGCATCGATCACAAAGCTGTTCTTCCCAAATGTCGTGGATGCCTACAAAACAGTTAAACGCCTCGTCATGACCAAGGAGCTGGCGCAGGCGTTGACGGGGCACGGTGGGTTCTCGGAATACCTAGTGCGTTTTAAGTGCAAGGAGAGCCCATCCTGCGTCTGCGACACCGGCGTCAGCGAGTCCCTCCCCCACCTGCTAACGGAATGCCCGCAGCACGAGGCAGCGCGTTACAATCTAGAAATTAAGATCGACAAAAAAGTAACGCTGCCAAATTTGTCGGGGCTGATCGCGGACAGAAGATGCAGGGCAGACTTTATCGACTTCGCAACAGTGGTGGTAAGGTCTGCCAATATCAGAAATGGTGCCACAGGAGGGAGTAACGATACTCTTCACCGGGCACGGCGACGTGTAGGTGATTCGAGGACTGAAGATGTTGACCCCGCGTAAGCGACCCATGACATGCTACGCATAGCAGGGCGCTTGTAGCGAAGACTGACGCTGAAAAAGGAAGATCACCACACAAAAGTTGGCAACACCCCGGTGAAGGGTAGAGAGACCGGGCGCTTAGTACGTATATTAAGATATTAAAGAGTATATGACAGTAGCGTCGGTAGTATAAAGAACCTTCTATATATATATATATAAATATTTATAAAAATCTATCCTTATTTATTGATTATATTATTTATCTATTGAAATTTAAAATGTTACAAATTATTAATATAGACATTGGCACCGAAACATAACACTGGACGATCGCAGGTCTCTGATCATGTCAGAGGAGCACTCAGGAACAGCAGGAGGGGTTTTAGCAGGTAAGAGTCCGACAGTACTCACACCTCCCTATTCGTGGGGAGGTGTGAGTCTCCATGAGGATTTCCCCTCCTGCTGTATAAAAAAAAAAAAACCTAACCTAACCTAACCTTCCTTCCTTCCCGTCGGGGAACGGGAGAGGGTTATGTTGGACTCCCCGGTAAAGTCGTTCCCGGTATACCCACTAAAAAACCCAGTGGCACTTCTTTGACAACATGGGATACGCAATAATACGCATTTAGACCATTCGGTAGCCGTAATTTTAGGAATGGCTTCCTGAAATTGATTCACTGATTGTTTATCGATTTTTGGGTTCATCACTACACTGTTTATTTCACAAAATGACAGTAGATCATGTCAAATCAGGAATCTAATTAAAATTCTGACTATAGGTAGAATAAAATTTTTAATTAAATTGAAGTATAAGGGGTGCCATCACACACTGTTTTTGCAGTGGGCAATGTTGTCACTCGTATGTTCATGCAAGTTCGGGAATCATTGCCCGCTTTATTATCTTGAAGATTTGATGTTCAAATAATCTCAAAATAGCATAGAAATAAAAAAAAATACTTATTATTACTCTAATATAAAAATAACTGAGTGATAGCGTACGCTGGCAATGTGTAAAAACGTAAAACAAAATTTTGGCACCACCTCACACTACCCCTATTTCTATCGTGTCTAGTCGAGGACTCAGTGAACTAACTAATATTTAGTTTAACAACGAAAACATTCAAGTTTAGCCTGAAAATGAAATAACGTCGATAGCTATATAAATTCATTTACAATTCAAGATTTCATTTATTTTTCGTGTTCGGGCAAAGATATCCGTTAACGGCAATGATGACCGGTTTCACCGAAACATTTCACCAAGGCGCAGACCCCTCCCTATAGTAGTGACGAAATGAAAGTACAGTAATAGTCACTAGATCAGTTTATTGTTTTATATTAGTTATTTACAAATATAACAGATAAATGCGTGCGCAGCTTGCAGGTCGTGCCTCTACTCGTCCTCGTGCAGGGAGAACAGCTTGGCCACCTCGAACAGGTCGTCGAACTCACCCTGCGCCAGAACCTGCACAGAACCAGGAGTGACACCGACTGCCCCATACAGCAGGAGGGAGCCGCGTGGGGCAGTGCGGGGGCCGTACCTGTCGCGCGACGTGCATCCGGTTGAAGAGGTTCCACAGCAGGACGCCCACCACGCGGCGCTCGCGCAGGTAGAACACCACGCCGCGCTCGTAGCGCCGCGACTCCGCCGGAGACTGCACTGCCTCCGAGCTGGGCCCCGAGCTGGGCCCCGAGCTGGGCCCCAAATCGGGCTCCGGTCCCGCCTCGGTGGCGGCCGCGCCGGCGGCGGCGGCTAGCTGCGCCGAGCTAGTTTCTTCTGTGACGGCATCCGCTGAGAAGACGCCCACTGTGGGAAGCCGCGAGTCGATGATGCCGATAGCCTGCGGAGCAGAGCGCGGTGAGCAGAGGGTCGGCCAGGGTGAGGCCGGGGGAGGGGCGTGGCGCTCACCTCGTAGCCGAGCTGTGGCCCGAGGTCGCTCCAGAACATGCTCTGGTGCGTGTAGTGCTTGGCGGGGCCCAGCGCCGCCATGTTCTCGCCGGCGAGGCGGCCGGACACCACGGCGTGGTCGTGGTGCTCCACGCGGCGGCGTCCGAGCACGACGTCGTAGAAGCACGCCACGTCGCCCGCCGCGTACACGTCGCTCCGCGCCTGCACGCACACACGCATCACATCTTAGTCGAATATATTCGATACAGGAGAGGTACATGTGCGATACCTCGCCCCAAACTGTAAACAACATGTCAGGCAGCGCAGTACCTGCAGCTCCGCGTTGACGAGCAGGCCGCCCAGCTCGGGGTGCGTCTCCAGCCCCGAGGCGCGGGCCAGCTCGTCGTCCACCTCGCTACCCACGCACTCCACCACCAGGTCGGCCGCCACGTCGTCCCCGGTGGCCAGGCGCAGCGCCACGCCACCGTCCCGCAGCTCCCCGCGCAGCAGCTCGGCGCCGGGGCGCAGCGCCACGCCGGCCGCGCGCAGTCGGCGCGCCGCCTCCGCCGCCAGGTAGGGCGGCAGCACCCCGGCGAGCGGCGCGGGCTCCCGGAAGAGCTGCGTGACGGTGCGGCCCTCGGGCGCCAGACGCTCGGCCAGCGCGGCGCTCAGCTCGCAGGCCAGGAAGCCGCCGCCCAGCACGGCCACGCGGCGCACGGCCGGCTCCTCCAGCGCGCGCGCCAGCCGCGCCGCGTCGCGCACGCCGCGCAGCGCCAGCGCGCGCCCCGCCGCCGCCGCGTCGCGCAGCGCGTCGCAGCGGCGCGCGCGCAGCCCCGTGGCCAGCAAGCACTTGTCGTAGCGCAGCGTGACGGGCTCGCGGCCGGGCGCGCGCAGCTCGGCCAGATGTCGCGCGGCGTCCAGGCGCACGACGCGCCAGCCGCGCGCCACGGCGGCGCCGCCCGCCTGCTTCAGCTGCTCCACGTCGGCGTAGAAGGCGGCGGGCTCGTAGGCCACGGCGCGGCGCCGGCCGTTCCACTGGCGGAAGGACAGCGCGTCCAGGTGCGGGGCGCGCGCCGCCAGGTCGGGCTCGCGCCACAGCTCCTTGCTGAGCGGCGGCCGCATGTAGGGCAGCTCGTGCTCGGCGCCGACCAGCAACACGCGCGCGTCGGGCCGCGCCGAGCGGATGGCGCGCATGGCGGCGAACGACGCCGTGCCGGCGCCCACCAGCAGGTACTGCACGTGCGCGGGGAAGGCGGAGCCCGAGCCGGGCACGGGCTCGGGCTCCTCCGGCGCCCCGCTGGCCGCGCTGGGGGCGCGCGCCTGCTCTGTGTCAACTGCGTCCTTCTTCTCTTCATTCAGTTTCCGGTACAGATACACCTAATACAGGCAACAAGCACTCTTTGTTTTATTTAAAAATCCGCTAATACATTGGTTCCTAGGATCTACACCAGGCTTCCCTGTTGTTAGGCTCTGCACTATAGATAATTATATGAAACAATACATTTATTTTTGTAAGTAGGCAATATAACAGAAGCATTACCCGGCTAAATTATGTATTACAAAACTAAATGACGCCGCAAACGACGAAGTTATCGAAATCAATTAAATAAACAATAATTTAAAACACAACACATAGCAACGCCACGGGGACGATGCTTGTACGTCCAAACTATTATTATAACCTATAACTGTTAAACATTTTAAAAGAAACGTGAATACGTCTAAATTGTGGATTATAGGTAAATTATTTGAGCGTATTATCTATGATCAGCTATGCCCTGCTCGAACGCCTTCGCTTCGCTCTTACCAGCATTGTTTTTGAGGGGATGGTCTACAACTTCTGATCTGATATTGTTTAACGATTTTATTACTAATGAATGATGGTAGCCAGGTCCAGTGTGGTTTACACTGATTATAACAAAGCATTCGATCGTATTGATGACGACACTTGATTGATCAAGAAGCTAAGCTCTATAAGTATTCGTGGAGATCTCTTGAGAACCTCCTCAAGAGCTTCCTGATATATTAATAATAGATCGCAGGCTGTAGTGATCAACAATATATCTAGTTGGGTGTCAATGCCTAGCGGAGTGCCTCAAGGTTCGTTACTTGGGCTCTTTTTATTTGTGATCTATTTGAAAGACCCACACGAGGTAAATTACTAGTATTATTTATTACTACACGCTTTCCTCGAGAAAGCGCGAGCAAACGTAGTTCGTTTGAAGTGGTACATTGCAAATACGGTACTTTGCAAATTCCCTAACTAAATCGCCAATCTGCCTTGAGCAAGCATGGTGATAGGCTGCTGATGTGATGTGACTGCTCTATTATTTGAAGACTTGGTGAATGTGCTATTGAGGCACACACTAATATGCGTGTCCAACATTTTGTACCGTAGTGATACTTACCCCGCCAAGGGACGCCGACAGCGTGAGCGCGGTGGCGGCCAGCTTCCACGAGTGTCGAGGCGGCTGGGTGCCCGGGCCCCCGCTCGACGGCCCGCCGCCGCCGCCCCCGCTCGGACTGCTGCCGCCAGGGGCACTGATATTTTGAGTGACGGCATTCTCGGAACCACCCCTTGATGTAGTTAACACTGTCTGATTGAAAAACATGAATATTATAACGGCGACATTGCTACAGCTAGCAGGTGTGGCTGGAGAGTAAACGTCAGTTTCATTATTTTTGTAATTCTATTCGCAGTGACCTACCGTTCTATAGCTTTTAATTTTCCTTGGAAGCTTGAAACAAGAAAAAAAATAATGATTTGATGACATAATTTTTTTTTAATATGTAAATATTACTACTTCACTAAAATGTGACAGTGCTCACCTGTGATGCAGAGGCCTGACTGGACAGCAAGCTGGAGCCTGCCAACAAAGGACTGTGTCATGCTGGTGCAGCTTCAGGTAACACAAAAAGCAATAATAGTGTGCGGGAACAATAACAAAGGACTGTTGAAATAGTAACACCCGGTTTCTGAAAGGCTTGTCAACGCTAAAATTAATTATTCTCCTGTTAAATCTCTTGTTAAGTCATCTGATTGGTTGACTGAATTATCAACAACTTAAATTGATTTTAACATTGATCGGCCTCTCTGAAACCGGTTGTAAGTAAAATAAACTTTTTGATACATTCCCTTCTAACATTATGGATGTACCCTCGAACATGCTTTACTGAAGAAAATGGTCAATGACATCTGTTGTCATATTAAATTGGGACCAAGAGGCAATTGCCAAGGACCAATGCCGTTTCAGATGTGCCAAGTGGGATGGGTCACTAGTTATATACAATGATAAAACAGAAACAGATTAATGGTTTGAGGTTTCAACTCAAGTCAGTCTATTACAATCTCATTTTTTTTTTTATTCAAAGCACTGAAGTAATTTACATAAAAATTTAAAGATCCAAGATTACTTCCTTCAGTGTAGATTCAAATATATCGAGGAGAACAGACAGGCTCTTCCTGCCAAGTCTCTTATCTAGCATTTTAGTACTATTTAGGTTATATTTGCATTACAAGTACAACAATATTTAGACAAAATGAAGGACTCACGGAATAATTTGTAAACATCTTTTCTTGCCGCGGAGAACAGTTCGAGTGCTTGACTCTCGATGTAAATTGCAGATACCGCTCTCGCTCTGAGCATCACTAAATTATTTTTTTATAATTTTGCACGTACACAACAAATGTAACTTTTCTTCTTTCTTGAATCAAGTATTGAAAAGGATATGAATTTAATTGAAATAAATATACTCGTTCTCATACATCTTTGAAATATTTAAAAGCTGTTGTGAAATTATACTCTGCTGCTAGGTTATGAAGCTGTTTCGCGATTTTGATTGACAGTTTTCTAACTTTTCTGTTGTTTGACGTTTTGACAATGGCGTTCATTTATCTTTGCACGTGTGTTATTATACCTCTTTATTAATAAAATATATATATGCTTATTTAATACTTTGTTTCCTTTGCGTACTATTTAATACAGTATTATGTAGGTGTTAACAGATAATGTTTTTTATCAAATCAAGAAGTTGCCCAAGAATTCGAAATTTTCAAGAATACTCCATTAAAACTACGAAACACTTAGAATCACCTCCGGCACTTTCTATTAGTCTTCTTAAAAGAAATGTTAAAGAATGCCGTTCTGGCTTCCGATTTCAGTATACGGACCCGCAATCAGTAATAAAGGCGTTTAAAGACATAAAAGTTAAGTCTTCAGAGGATCTATGGGGAATATCTGGTATGGTGTGTAGGTCTTTTATAGAAGCTATAGCACCTTATTTAGCTTTAATTTTTAATAGAAGTGTAGATCAGGGAGTTTTTCCAAATTTGATGAAACTTAGCAAGGTGGTTCCGTTGTTTAAATCTGGCGATGACAATGATCCCAATAATTATAGGCCGGTATCAATTTTACCAGTGCTTAGTAAGGTGTTTGAAAAGCTAATGCTTTCTCAAATGCTACGACACTTTAACTTAAATTCCATCTTTCATGACCAACAATATGGGTTTACCAAGGGTCGATGCACAACTGACGCCGGTGTAGCTCTACTTAAGCATGTTTTTGCCTCATGGGAAAAGTCAAACGACGCTATTGGGATTTTCTGTGACCTGTCTAAAGCTTTTGATTGCGTTGAACACGCGACACTGTTGCTGAAGTTGGAACACTACGGCATACGAGGGGTATCTCTCAATTTATTAAAATCATACCTGCATAATGGGTAGTTCAAAGTACAAGTAAATAAAGTGAACTCTCAGGGTGCTAGTATATCTCTGGGCGTACCACAGGGCTCGATATTAGGTCCTTTCCTGTTTTCAGTGTACATAAATGACTTACCTCATTTATTTCAACGTGAACCGGGAATGGTATTATTTGCTGATGACACATCGTTGATTTTTAAAATAAATAGACGGACAAATAATTATGACGACGTAAATAATGCTATTACGAAGGTTCATAATTGGTTTATTTATGAAAACATTATGTATGTTAGGAAAAATCTTAAAAATATTCGATAAGGTGTCAAATACACATAATTATCAAACTAGACATAGAGATAGATTATGTCAGCCATTGTTTAGATTGGCAAAGGTACACAAGTCGTTCATGGGATTCTGTGTTAAATGTTATAACAAAATCCCAGGCGAAATACAAAAATTAAATGAAAGAAATTTTAAATTATGTTTAAAGAAAACTTTATGTAGAAAAGCATACTACACACTGAATGATTATATTGTAGATAAAGATGCTTGGAAACATGCTGGTCCTGCTCCACAGGATAGCAAACCTACACCAAAATAAATAACGTTCCAGTGGATTTTGCTTGAACGGGACTTCTCCATATTAGTGAAATTGCATTATACTGTATTACTATAACTTGATAAATTTGTAAAAGTGAGTGCCCTGTAACTCTGTAACCTATTAAAATTGTTTAGACTAGCAGAATGTCGGTCCTTGTAACAGCTTGGAGTTGTCATGCTCACTGAAAGGTCACACTGGCGGTGGCATGGGCGCTGGATCGCTTAATTCCCTATAATATGGTTGAGTTGGGCGATGCTGGTGTACGTGTCATGTTCGTGAACGGGCGCCGTCAGTTGGGACTAGTCAGCTCCAGACTGTCTATTGTCCTTAAGGTTACCTACTTTATTTTTATATTTGAATAAATATTAGTGTTACACTGTTCTCACATAATTGAACCAACTGTTTGTAAAAGGAATCTGTATGTGAAACTGATTTAAAAAGAAGGACTGGAGAAGAACGAGCAAGAAACTCCATGGTTACCATGGAGTTTCTTGCTCGTTCTTCTCCATCGGAATCTACACTTTGGAACGAGCAAATAGCTTCACTGGACTGACCGACAGACTGACACTATATCTTCAAAATATGCCTGTAAAGGTCTAATTGGAATAATGATTTTTGACTTTTGTTTTTATGAGATAGTTTCAGTTGGTATTAATTTTTAATTTGACGACACAACACCATGGATCCAACACACATAGGTAATTAAAAACAAAACTTTTTATCATTACATTTGGAAAAGATTCGAACTATTTAATGAACAAAATGTGTTAAATAGCTAAATAGTATTATTTTATATTATATATACTTATAAAATAAATCTGTAGTTTATTTGTTTGTTTGAACGCGTCAGTCTCCGGAGCCACTGGTTCAAATAAAACAAATCTTTGTTTTTATTGGTCCATTTATCGAGGAAAGCTATAGCCTATAAAACATCATGCTGCGATGAGAAGGAGCAAATCAGTGGGTGAAACCGCGCGAGAGTAGATAGTTTTTGTAATAAAATGACAAAAACATTCTTCAATGCTTACCCACAGAGTACAAAACCAAAAGATTATAAAACCTTTTGTTTTATAATCTGTGTGTTTACATTGTCAATATCATCTGTTACAAATTAACCAACTGAACTGTCACCCGTCACCTATCCACCGATCCACCGTCAATGTCAATAAAATTGTCATAAGAAAATATTCCGGTGTGCCGTAAATTATAAAAAAAGTAGTGGAAATCACAAAATTACATTAGTGGCTTAGCTTTGTTGATAGCTTTCAGCCTAAGGCACGTTATTTATAGACACTATATCGAATTCAAGTGATAGTTGGTGGAGTAAAATAAATCAAAATTCCTCCTGCTTCAGTGACTCAGGGATCTTCTCTCCGAACTGCTGATTGGTACGTACCACGAATGTTTGATGAATTTGGCTAGCAACATAATATCAGTCTCCTATTATTGTAATTGGGAGTACGATCCGTTGCCACCAGGAAGACTGTAATGCTTGTTGTTAACAATAAATATTTTCATGACTTCCATTCTCATGATACCATGCAGCTGTGAGCTATAATAATCGTCGAAATAAATTAAAATGTATAGTGAAATATTACGCTACTCGCCAACCGAACAATTACTGCATGAAATTATATTATTTTTTAATTTTTACTAGTTTCTCATTGAATTCTATTTATTCCATAAAAAGTATCTTGTAATCAATATCAAGTGCAAGTTTTCTTGGTAACTCTTTCTAAAGCAAGTCATTTACCATAAAAAATTTTTTAAGAGATAATACATAATACTTTAAAGAAAATACAATTTAAAAGTTGTGTGCTCCTCCAATTATAAGAGACCACATCATGAAAAAAATAACATTATAATGTTATAAATATTGAAATTGAAATTAAATTATCATTAAAACAGAAGAAGATTATATTCCAATGAAAAATTACACACAATAAAATTTAAACATAAACATAAAAGCTTTACATTCAACCGAACATTGAAAATCTAACATGGTATGAATTAAGTAACACACAAGACAAGAAATAATAAAAATTTAAAGAAAAGTAAAACTTATCAGTGTTCATGCAAGTGGTGCAGTATTGGAAATAGCTGGTAGCAGTGCTTGTGATAGTTACTAAGCTAATAAAAATACGCAGTGACCACTAATTAGTTTAGAGGAGACATGACATGACTCAACCAGTCACTTTGTAACAAAATATGCACTGCTAATAGTTCCAAGGTCACATTGTAATATTCACAGATTATCATGAATGTATAAGAGTTAAGTAAAAAAGAAAGAAAAATTATTTGGTACCGGACATGCTGCACAAATCACTGTATAAAGCAGAAAATAAAAAAATACAAAAAATAAGAAACGAGTGCAGCAATTATAAGTTAGAACCTACAATAAAACAAACAAACGTGGCAACATAGCAGCATGTCCGTGATTGGTCGGCAAACAACAAGACAGAACACCTGATGGTAAGCAATCAGTGTCACCCAGGTTACGAGCTACAAGTGCAGCACCTTTTGGGGATCAGGGATTTGGAGATGTAGGGATTGGGGAGCAGAAGGATTAGGCCTCCGGTAACCTCTAACACTTTGCAGTGACATACGGATGGAAACAACATAAAATACAAAAGTAATATTACTGATTGATATTCAATAAAAAGTAAATTAATATTAGTAGTATGTTGCGTAATATTGAGGGTAGTGGACCCAGAATTGCTACGCGAAATGTCACGTGATTAACTTTTCGATCGAAACACTAGAGCAACAATAAGTGTGCGAACTCCGGCGTTCGCTTGGGGTTTGATGAATTAAACCATGCCAATTACTGTAGTCGCTTTATCGGTGCTACCACGGTAATGCCATCTGTGCAGTATTGTAACTTGGCAGCATTTAAAAAATAAATACCTACCGCCGCCCGTGCTGTACGTAAACATGCGGCGAGCTGCCGCTTCCTCCTTTTTGTTGTACACGAACACGAACGAACGAACAAATAATAAACCACCACCTCTGTACTTTGAATTACACAAACTACAAAACATGCATCCATACTATGATATACTGTTTCACTCGTGTCAATAACTTTCCGTTACACACGTTATACATATATCTAGCTACTAGCAAGTAAAATTGTTTTATAGACTTACATTTCAGAGTTTTGACGTAATTAAAATAATTTTTAACAAAAAATAAACCAACTTCAGAAAGTAAACTAAAAAGCAAAAAATAAATTTACTTTAAAAGTCAAAAGTCAAAAAGCATTTATTTCAATTAGACCACAATAGGCACTTTTGAACGTCAAGCAAGCAAAAAAGGAAAAAAGTATATAACAAGAGCTTTAAAATTAAGCGTGTCAGTCTATCCGTCTATCCTCTAGTGAAGCTATTTGCTCGTTCCAAAGTGTAGATTCCTATGGAGAAGAACGAGCAAGAAACTCCGTGGTTACTCTATTTCAATCAGTTTTACAATACATTTCTTTGTTACATCATTTAGTCGGTTCTGATATGTGAGAACAATGTAACACTAATGTTTTGGCAAAAAGTACAAAAAAGAAGTGAACCTCAAGGACAACATATTTAGACAGCCTGGAGCTGACCAGTCCTATTAGGCGGCGCCCGTTCACGAACATGACACGTACACCAGCACCGCCCAACTCAACCATACTATAGGGAATTGGGCGATCCAGTGCCCGTGCCACCGCCAATGAGACCTCTGT